TGGATGGTTAAGACCAAGATAAAGCAAGACCTATATAACAAATATTGTAAGTCTCCCTAGTGTAAGAACTCAAAAGAAAAAAAAATAGAAAGGTATAATACAATTAAAAGGAAAGTGAGAATTTAAGAATTAAACAACAAAGAGAGGACAAGGATAAAAGCTAGGAAAAATTATTTTTCCATGGAACATTTTCCTGTGTCCTACCACTCTAGGTCCTCTGATTCTACCCTTACATTGACTGTGAGCCTTGTGAAATCCCTTTGTAAATTGTACATCACAGACAGATATGCTCAATGTTTAAAATAAAACAGTGGCTCAGTGGTCCACCCTCTAATGTTGCAGCAAAACCAGTTTTACCTTCATTTACATATTCATTTCAATATGCCTTGTCAATATTTGTCTGTCTCTTCTTTATATTTTCTGTTAAGCTTAGTTCAACATGTTTCTTTTTCTCCTGTAAGCTACATAGAACCTTTATTTTTTAAGTCTGAATCTGAAAGCAAAATAATACGCCTGCCCTTTCTCCTTGATATTGTCCACCAATATTAATGGGAATCCGTACCTGCAGCTGTTCATATCCAAAACTTGGGAACCACTCCTGACATTTTCGCTGCCTCACCTTCTTCATATGCAATTACTCATCTCAGTCCTTCTGCTTTCACATCCCTAACATCCCTGCCAATCCACTATATTTCAGTTCAAGTCATTATGACTGTCACTTAGCAACTGAGCTCCCTATCTTTCCCCTCACTACTATCCAATTATTTTCCAGAGTCATTAGTTTCCAAAATTAAATCTGATCATGACACTGTGTTGCTTAAAACTTACCAATGCCTTTCCACTGCCTCAGGGGTAAAGCTTGAAATGCTGGGATGATTTTTCCTGCTTTTTCTTTACCTGCCTTCTCCATCTCACATACTAGTTTTCTTTTAAGGTTTTTTTTTGTTTGTTTTGGCAGAACCGGGGATTGAACTCAGACCCTTGCACTTGCCAGCGAAGCGCTTGTTCCACTGAGCCATCTCCCCGGCCCCTCACATACTAGTTTTCAACATATACCTACTTTCTATAATTTTTTGCCTCATCTCTAAGACTGGATTAGATTCCCTCACAGTAGCTGCTTATAGGACTTATTTTAAATAAAATAAACATATGATTGATCATTTATTCCATTTCTGTCTATTCTAAGATGACAGGGGCCAACCCACCTAATACCACTTTATTCTCATATCAGGATGGAATCTGAAACATAGAACATAAAATTGATTGCATCCATGAATGAAATCACACAAATACAACCTCAAATCTTGACTCCTCTGGTAAACTATGATTACAATTTCCCTCCTTAGTAAGATAAAGAGAATATTGCAGGGACACCATGGAAATTAAATTCTATGATGCCTGGCTAGCACAAAGCAAGTATGCATGGAATAATCATTACCACCAACATTAACACTATAATAGAAGCAAGAAGGGCATTGTGAGGTCTAGGCAAGTCAAATTAAAGGCTGCAGGGACATCCCAGAGCAGAACAACCATAGTGTCTTCATCTGAGCTTCCCACCAACATATTCTCCGAGTTTCAGTGACTTGACCAAGTCCCTGCTGAGATCAGACTAACTCATGGAGTCTCAATATGAACAAACTCACCTAATACTAAAGCTCATAGTGGGCCCTGGGAGACAGCTCAGTAGTATAAGCAGTTCAATCCTCAGTATTGCAAAAGAAAGAAAGAAAGAAAGAAAGAAAGAAAGAAAGAAAGAAAGAAAGAAAGAAAGAAAGAAAGCAAGCAAGCAAGCAAGCTAGCTCGCTCATAGATACATTGTCGCTTATTCATTGACTATGAGATAACATTCTAATGTATGATCCATTTATGTAAAATATGAAATATGAAAATCCACAGAAATAGAAAATAGAGAAGTGGTTGCCAGGACCTAGGTGCAAGGAAAATGAGGAAATGGGGACTGACTGCTAATCAGTAATTTATTAGTTTATATCTTTCTGCAGATTTCCTCTTGGTGCAATAAAAATGCACTATAATTAGCTAGTAGTGATGATGGTATGAATGTAAATATACTAAAAGCTACTGAACTGTTTTGTTTTTGGTTTTGCTTTTTGTTTATTTGCAGTACCAGAGATTGAACTCAGGACCTTGCACTTATTCCACTGAGCTATCTCCCCAGCCCCTGAAGTGAATATTTTTGATGATAAAGTATATGTTTTATGTGTTATGTAACAATTTAAAAATTCTCCAGGGGCTGCATAACTGTTTTTACCTTCACTTCCCTCAAGGCAAATTGCCAGTGCCAAATTCATCCATGTTTGCTCAGCAAGCACAGATCCAGAGCACACAGGAGAAGTATAGAGTCCCGGTAAACCATATATTTCATGAGGCCCTAGGTAACTAAAAATCATCAGAGAAGTCTGATGAGGGTCTAAGTCATGGATGGCCATCACTGTATTTCTGGCTTCCCAAGAAACCCAGAAGCTAGATTATTGTATGACTTGTCAGTGATACTCAAAGTACTGGGGAGATTTCTGGGAGTTATATTTATCAATAAAAGCAGAAAGACAATTTCCCTTCCATCTTAAGTCTTTATTCCTGCCTTGAATGCAGTTATGATGGTTGAGACTGAAGTGGAAATCCAAGCAAAACACCAATAAATTTTCAGGTATATCAAGGCTGGCACTATTGAAACAGTGCCTGCAACTGCCTACTTCTGGTTTTTTTAAGTTAATGAAATAAACTTCAGGTTGTATAATCCTGTCATCAGTGGTTTGCCCCATGCATCAAATACATTCCTAACTATAAAATAGACCCTTCCAACATTTGCCTCTTTAACACTCCCTAATCCAGTGATGGTGAACCTTTTAGAGTATTTAATGATACAAACAGCCTGCTGTGGCACATGTGCCATAGGTTCATCACCACTGCCCTAGTCCATATTCCACTTACAAGAGTTTTTCCCTACAGGTGAGAGATTTTTTCCTCAGATACATTAAGGGGCAAACTGGGTATGGACAAAATCTGCATAAATAGCTGCCATATCTCTAACAAAATAATCCCCACTTTGTTTTTGCCTGCCTATTTAATTTATCATTTGACTCACAAGACTTATTTCTCCAAGTTATTGGAGAAATCTCAGATACCACTTTTGATACTGACATTTTGTAAGACAACTTTTATCTTTATGAATGGAATTCTGTCTAAAAAAACTACAATGGTTGGCAAACTTTCAGTGCAAGGAGTAAGAGAATAAATATTTCAGGCTTTGTGACCTTTATGTTATCTGCTGCAATCCTGCCATTATGGCCCCCAAACAGTCACAGGCAATATGTGAATAAAAAGGTATGGCTGTGTTATAGTAAAACTTTATTTACAAAAAACAGCCATCTCTAAATGAAGCCCAGAAGGCATTCTTCACTATCAAAAACTTGAGAAAGATGTATCTAGTTATAAAAATCAAACAGGCTATCACTTCCTTTACTTCATTACTGTGTCTCTGACACTTGGAAAAGCAACAAACTGGGAAATGTACATAAACTGGAGCTAGAGTAGACTTACCTAGGCCAGTACCCTTTTCTATTATAAGTCCTTAAAGAATAAAGGTGTTACGGTAATTTTCATATGTTGTCTACCAGAGGTTGTGGGAGGTGCTTTCATATAAATATTAATCTACTAAGGTTCAAGAACTCTACTTAAACTCTAATATTTTAAGAATTAGAGGTAACCTAGAGAAGGGAGACGATTCAGATATGCAAGTGTCATGTGATCCTACCCTGATTTAAAACATTTTACCATGCAGTTTAAACTACAGATAGATGAACATAAAAACCATGGAGTTATTTAAGAGTATTTTTAAGTGTCCTTTTTTCAACTGTTTCTCCTTCTTCTCCTCTTAATTTCTTATATATTTCTTTTTTCTTTCTTCCAATTTTGCATGCATATATCTGGTAATATGAATAACTGTTTGGAAGGGGTGGAACTAGGCACTTGCCAGAGTGCCTGGTTTTCCCTTATATATAGTCTTAATATTGGGAATAGTTATTATCTTTCATAGTTGAAGTCTTTTCACCTATGTCCAATGCAAAAGGAAGTTTTTATGGAAAAATGGATTAACCAAACTCTGCTCTCAATTTGACAACATGAGAACAGCTCAAAGGTTAGAAAGTTGTGTTCACTTAAAAATGAAATATTCTAATATATCTATTAGAGCTTTAATTAGGCAGAATCGTGAGCTTGCTACATCATTCACTACAAAGTTCTTATAATCAACTGTCTCAGCTATTTTAGAACTATCACTCAAAGAGATAGGTGAAATCCCAAGTCCACCAGCCTTTTGCAGCTGTAGTTTCAGCTGCAAATTGCCTGTTCTAAAAATGGCCACAGTGGAATTTTTGGTCCTAAACATCCACAATTCTACATCCCCCAGTAAGAGTTAGAGCTTACCTCCCTTCAGTTTCCTTGAATTAGAGCAGGACTTTGTGACTACATCACCAAAAAGAAGGCAAGAGAAGTAATGATCCATAACCCTCAAGGTTGGATCACAAAAGGCCATATGCTCTTCATCTGGCATTCTCCTGCTCTGAAGAAATTCACCCTTGGAAGTAGTCACGATTCTGTAAGGAAATTCAAACTACTCCACATAGAAAACAAATGGAGAACTGAGATTCCCCCAAACAGCCAGCATCAAGACATCACTGCAACGAACCATGTGAGTCACTGAGCCTTGAGGTATTCTAGCCCTACAACTTTAAGCCACCTCAGCTGATTCACAGTAGAATATAGCTGAACTTTCCTTTTTGGGCCCTGCACAAAATGCAGATTCATAAGCAACATGAATGATATAATTTTAACTCAGTAAAATATGAGCTTAGTAATTGGGATACAGACCTCAGATGGAATGCACATATGGATACATCTCATTTGAAACAAAATAAACTGTATGTTTTACTCCACATTTTAAGGCCGAAAAATGCAAACAAAAATAAAAATATACATACCTCTGCCCAAAGTGACTTGTTGCTGCAAGACACTTATATACAGCTGCAGGGTCATTTGGGGGGCCGAGCCCAGGAAAGCCTGGATTACCGATGCCCGGCTGAATGCAGACCGGTGGGTGATTAGCTTGCCTTCTGCCTGGCCCACCTCCTTCTCGATCTCCTCTGATAGGCCATTTTTTGGTATCTGCCGCTTCTTAGTGATGCTGACGTAAGGTTCTTCATCATGGTTTGACTGACAGTAGATGTACAAGGCCTCAAAACACCTGAAAAAATCAGCAAGTCATAATTATTAGAGGTAGGCAGGATTCTCCCTTTTCTGAGTCATCTTGCTTCTATTAAGCCTGACTCTCAAAGCCTTGACTTGGGTATTCTGGACTGGAGTCATCCCTCTATGTCATTCATGCCAAGGATGAGTTCTAAGTTCTTGGTCTTCACACTTTCCATCACACAGATGAGAACTGGGTGCAAATCAAAAAGGTGACACTAAAGGCAAATATATTGACAATCCTAGTTAAACCAGGAGGTGTGGTTGGGAGATTTCCCAGCACAGAGCAGCCTGTCATTTGGCATTACATTGGAAGACCATAACATATTACCTATTTCATTGTCCTCATAAGCTTTTATGAGGCAGAGCTAAAGTTAGTTATGCCCAAATACCTTACAAATACATCTTATTTATGGATTTCTAAACCTCTTCTAGGGATAGAGCCTTAACGTCCATAAGAGAGAGTATCTGGCCTCTAAATTGGTATTTTCTCTCTAAGTAATGATATGGATACTGAATGAGAAAGGGTACTAATGCCTGTGATTTACTTTGAAGTAACGCACACACACACACACACACACACACACACACACAGATTGATGGATATGCATGTAAAAAATGTCAATTATGCAATATAGATGTAGGGTACTTGGGCATTCACTGTAGAATTCTTTCAAATTGTCTTTTGTATAGCCAAAATTTTTCCTAATGAAAGGCTAGAAACAAAATAAGTTTTCTGAAGGTATAAGAAAAGTACTTACAAATTCAATTGAAAAATTATTGAAGGTTTTTTTTCTCTGAAACACAAACTTTCATAACAACCTTATAATGATGCTAACCTTATAACACTGCTAACCTTATAATGCTGCTATTATAATGCTGTCATTTCATACGTGGTACTTTACTGAATATTGTTAATTTTAAACTCACAGTGAGGCAACTTTGGCAATGAGATTATACTTATAACTTAAAATAATAAAACAAAACCACACCAATGCAAGAAAAGAAACCTTTTTGGTTAAGTACAAAGTGGACATAATTGTGATTATTATTTGTGTTCATTTGCTCCTGGAAGAAAGAAATCATGCAGTAGTGTGTGTGCAAGTGTGAGGTGGGGTAAGTCCACTACCTTTTGCTTGGTGGACTCAAGAATGATTTAATATACAGTATTTCATGGAAGCATGTAAAACAGCATTGATAAATTTATTCAGCAGAAAATAATATTAATGAAATTCAGGTCAGGAGTTCAAGCACAGTTTGTCCAAAACTCAAATTTGTGGCAAGTACAAGGTCCTGAGTTCAATTCCTAGTACCTCAAATTTGTGACTGAGAACTGAATGATGCCTACCCACTCATATTATTTAACCATAGGTAAGGCCTACATAATAAACAGACAATTGCCTTTATTCTCAAATTTGTGATGAATATTGTTGCACTTAATAGCAAATATTTTGAGGAATACAAGGACATTTTAGTTAATAAAATATTTTCTCACATATTATCTCGAAAGTCCACTGCAATAATTTGAATAACATTACCTGTAATAAGAAAATTATGGAACTATTCTAAAGTCCCTTTAAGTCAGTGAAACAACAACTAAATAAATCTACTGTGCTCAAACAATGAAATATGCACTCCTGAAATTTATGCTTAGAAGTACATCTTCTATTATAAAAATACCAACTCAGTGATAGAACACCTGCATAGCATGTATGAGGTCCTGAATTCAATCCTCAACACCAAAAATAAACTAAAAATATTTTTCACCATATTTGGTAAATGAAAAAGTAAGTTACAATAGCATATATTAGACATTTCCAAGTAGCAGTCTTCTTGCCCTCTTTTTTCAATGTTCTACAAAATAAAAAAAGGAAATTTTTATACACAAACAATATATGTCCCAAGACAACTCTTCTTCATTCAGTGTAGCTCAAGAAAGACAAAAGCTAGACATATCTGAGAGGAAATCCCTTATTGTTGTGAAAAAAATCACACATGCATGAGTGCGTGTGCGTGCACACACACACACACACACACACACATGCACACAAATACAAACAACAGAATATCTGAGCTGCTGTTACCAGCTAAGGACAGCCAAGTATATAATAGGAAATCTGTAAGCCAGTTGTCAAGCTTGACCAGACTCAGAGATAAATATATTACACAAATCAGTAAACATTGAACATCATGGCTCATTTTCCCTGAGTTTACAAACATATCATCACAAAATATTAGCAAGGATATACAACAAAAATATTAAGAATTATTCCCTTTAGGTAGTTAAACCAGAGGTTTTATTTTCTTCACTGGGTATTTCTGTTTTCTCCTTTACTGTCATTTCAACAACAGCGAAAAAATGCTTTACTGACATAAAACCAAGCTCTAAGCTTTCAAATACCAAAACAAGCAAATAAATGAAATACTAGTTCATGCTAAGAATTGAATTAATGAAACAAGAATTTGGAAAAGAATGCAATTGTCTTGATGTTGAGGAGGGAACTGTACGAACTGTGTGAGACTAGAAGCATTCATAAAATCGTAAACAACAACAAAAAATGAAACTTCACTGACAAGTAAATGGAAATGAAAAAAAGACCCTGGAATGAACCTAATTGCATAGCTGCCTCTAAAACTTAAGTGAACTTTCTTACAATCTATTGTTTTCCTACATACCATACTTGCCTTAGCAGTTTGATATGTAGTAAAGGTTTAATAAATCTGTGAATAACCCCAAGACTTCCCACCAGCACTGGTAAGAAAAGAAGCAAATTAGTACCATATATTTGAAATTATGTAAAACATATATAACTACTTCAGATCTGTTTTGAGGCATCTGTTTTCTTATAGTTTTGTTTGCAAGGCTGTCTAAATAAAGCAACAAAAGCCAGGCGTGATGGCATGTAATCCCAGAACTCGGGAGGCTGGGGCAGGAGGATCACTGCAATTTTGAGACCAGCCTGGACTACAAAGTGAGCTCGCAGCCAGCCTAAACTGCATAGCAAGACTCTGTCTCAGAAAAACCAAAACTAAATACTAAATAAAGCAGTAAACAAATTTTCATGAAAATTTTTCAAGGTGTGGGCTGGGGATACAGCTCAGTGGCAGAATGCATAGCATATACAAAAGCCTGGTTTCCATCCCCAGCACCAAGAAGAAAAGGAGAGTAGAGGGGAGAGAAGAAAAAGGAGAGAAGAGACCAAGATGAAATGAGCCCAGAGGAGACCAGAAGGAAAAAAGAAAAACCTAAGAAAGCATGCAGACCAGGAGTGAAAAAAATTTTTGCATTTACAGAAAGTAAATAGTTTAGCCTTTATATACCATGTTCTGTTACAATTTCCCAACACTGCCTTTATAGTACTAAAGCAGTTATAATCTCTAAATGAATCACTATTATTGTGTTTCAATAAAATTTTATTTATAAAAACAAGCAGTTGGGCTATTTAGTGAATAGATTACAGTTCTCCGACCTCTGTTATAGATACTCAGTAGTAGTTTGACATGTTTTTTTTTTACTTTATCTTATTTGCAAGTATCATTCTCCCATTTTCAAGCATAATTTTAAAACTTTGTTTCTTAATTATAACCATGTATGTTAGTATAGGCATAAATAACCTGTGATATTAGAGACCCTAATAAAAATACTTTTTCCAAAGAAATTCTATGATTTCCTATAAACTATGTTATCTTCATATGACACTCATGCTCTAGGAGGCTACAAAAAAACAAAATTGGATAAAAAGCAAGAGCTTTGAGACCTTTGAAAAGCCACTTTCTTAATCTCTCTAAGCCTCAATTCCAGGACTGTAAAAATAAGATAATAAGAGCTCACAGAGTTTTTACAGTGGATGGAACTAAACACTACGTAAAAGCACTTTGAAATTAAATAAAGGCTCTCTATACTATTTTATTTTAAATTGCCTTGAAAGTTCACTATGGAGAAAAATACTATTGTGCATAACTTTGCAATTGTGTATAAAGACTTTTGGAAATTCTTAGCCTGTATTTTAAAAATCCAGATTTTTCACACATTTTCCCTTAATACTAGTATTAAAAATAAAGGGAATTCCTGGACTTGTACCCAAATTTGTATGTTCTTTTTCTCAAATAATTTATGAAAATTAACATTAATTATATAAGAATGATAAACAGAACAATTTAAATTTTTGATGAGAAATATTCATCCTCCTCCGATGTTCCAGGACATTTATTATAATTCAAAATAAGATTTTCCTTAAAATTACAATAAAATAAATTCAAGGCTTTAGCCAAAGTTCGTATTCAAAGTCAGCCTTATGTGGAAACGATCATACAACCTAGTCACAGACTTAAATATAAAACTGAACATATATAAGATATAAATAAAAAAGATATAAACGAAACAAGATGCTCTCCATATATTTCACTAAAAGAAAGAAGAAACAGAGACAAGGTAATTGCAGTTAGTCGTGCTTAGTCCATAATGATTAGTATAATGTATTGCAATGTTTTAGTATTTTTTGGTTTGGTTTTTGAGGTACTGGGAATAGAACTCAGGCTTCTGGCATACTAGGCAAGTACTCCACCACCAAGCTTAATCTCTAGCTCTACAATGCAATTTAACTGGGCCATAATCCTGGGTGAACTCAAAAGTAATGATCTTTGTACAAAGCATACATATTTGGGTGGTACTCACCCAAGGTTAAATGCAGCTAAACTATCCCCAAACATTACCAAAACGAATGATAAGGGGTAAAACCTCCTTTCTGTCTTTTGGGGAAAATCATTGTGATCTTTGGTAAAACAGATGTCTTAGACTTCAAATAAAATCTATCAGCAAAAAGAAATTCCAGTAAGATATCATATCATACTAATATACAAGAAGAAATTGCTTTACATTTTATCTAGAAGGTAAGAGACTTGGAACCATATTTTGTGTATCTCAGCTCTAAAATTATGCATCTTTGGCAGTGGAAAGAGGCTGCCTGTATTTTTTTAATCTTTATTAAGAAGACACTGACCTGCTCAAAATTTTCTGGAAGTAGAACTTTTTTATAGTGTTGAAAATTTTACACAACTGAAAAGTTATCTCTTGAAATCGCAAAATGTTTACTTTTCCTAATAAAATCAGTATTTTATTGTAAAAACTAAAAATATAGAAATGAGAAAAATTATACTCTTCTGTTTTTCAGAAGAATAGTAAAGTCATATCCCGCCATCCAGAAGTTACTGCTCTTAACCACTTAGTATATTTCCTTGAACTCAGGTTTATATTTCTCATCCTATTTTTATACATATCATGTAATTAGATTTATGTTGGGTTACTCTTAAAGTTTAAAAACATTTTAAATGTCAACAATGGTAGGGTATTCTCATTTACTAGTATGGCTATTTAGGTTATATTTGATTTTTAAATTTTGCCAAAATAACCAAAAGTTTTTCTTCAGACAGAACTGAAAAACTACACTATGTACTCCACTGCTTTGTTTCACAGATAATAAGGAACATACATAATCCAATTCCATTTTTCAAGAAGCCTTGGAAATGTGACCTGGAGCCTTATTTTTCTCTTCTATGAGATGGGTATAAGGGCTGTAAGTGTAGCATAGTGGTACAATACTAGCTTAGCAGGTGTAAGGGCCTAGGTTCAATCCTTAGCATGCAAAGAAATAAATAATAAATGATGAGGGAAGAGAATAACAAGTTGGGGCTCAGCCTGGGCAACTTAGCAACTTAGTGAGATTCTGTCTCAAAATTAAAAAAAAATATTTAAAAAGGGAAGAGGATATCACTCAGTGCAAAGGCCCTGAGTTCAATCTCCAGTACTTGACATAAAATGAAATAAAATAAAATACAGAGCTAGGGACTTGGTTGACTGGCCATGTTCGCTTAGCATTGGAGAAGCAGTGGATTTGATCCTCAGTACTGTAATAATAAATGTGGGGACAATTACACTTACTTTGTATGGGGAATCAACCTGAACTGAGGCTTATAGGTTAACTGGCAAACCAAGTACCACACGATGCTTTTGAGAAATGCTAGCTTCCCACATCTCTTCACTTAAACATGAGTGTGAGAAGCAATAGATGCTCTTCTCAGTCAGATCACATTTATTTTACTAAGAACAACATCGGGATCATAGGTCTTGCTTGGCTAGAGGAACACTCTCTTAACTAAATGGCTCTAAGTTATAAGGCTTTATAAAGTCAGTCTCTCTCTCTCT